TTATTAAAAGACAGATCTCTCTACGTGATAGCTTTCTGATATGTTTGATATTTATTCTGATAAAGATAATGGATATTTTTATATCGGCGCGAGATATTCGACGTGATAATTATATAATCATCAATTGCAGCCGGACTAGCAATTAAAGCAGCATTCTATACATTTGTAATTGCATCAACCGACGCAACCATAAATATCACATCTTCGATACAAAGTTATAATCTCCAGATCAAATAGGCATCGCTTAATCTAGCCGATACATGCGACTAGAAACATAGTTGGAATAAAAGATCGATACATACAAGAGAACCTACGACGAACTTTAACCGAAGCAAGATAAATTTTTCTTCCATAGGATCGTAACCCTGACAGCGAATTTCATTAATACATTGCGATTATCGATAAAGTCGATAATTGATATTTTTTTAACAAATTCCTTTTACCAACAAACGCGTTTACTTTGAACATGACTTGAAAATGCTCGTAAATTCTTCGCAGCAGAAATGCTGTATCATAAATCGAATAGTAAAATGTTTAAAAGTAGTCTAATCGAATTATACAAAAGCTATGTGTTTGTTCGATCAGCTTAATTAGCATTGTGATGCCGTTAAATTGATGACTTGAAACGTTACATCGAACCGCATAAACCACAATTTCGTAATTGATCATGTATGCATTTAAAAGAATCTTTCAGTTTAATAGAATTTAAAATATAGGAATTTGTACGTCATGCTGAGCTTTGAATATTCTGAGGCTAATCAATAGAATGTAAATAAGAAAAGATTAAGTATACTTATATTCTTACATTGTTTGTATTCTGATTTATTAGTATTATATTTATTATATGAGTAAGAGGAATCTGTGTGTGCGGAATCTATGCATGCGGAGAGAATTGTACGTATCTCTTATCAATAACTTTAGAAAAAAAACAAGTTTTATAAAGATTATCCTATTATATATCAATTGGATTTCTTATTTGTGACTTATAATATTTAGTATTTTATAACATTGATTATTCACATTTTTTCCAAAATGAACATGTCAGAAGTGCTTACATTTAACAATATCTAATAATTATGTTTGTTATTCAAACAGTTTTTTATTCCGTATCCAATAAAATATATTTTTTATTTTCATAGCAAAAATTACCAAAGAAATATTTTTTTATCGTTAGTTATTCCTATACACGTTACATGCATGATAATTAAAGTTTCGCAGTCTAAAATATGTAAATAAAACTTTATAACAAATTCTCCGTCATTATTAGTCCGATAGTTAGTCAATCATGGAATTTTTTTCAGAAACTTAAAAACATTCAGAATTTTCTCATCATTTTTTTTTTAATTAAATTTGAAACTTTTGCATTTATTGCCAATATAATACATTTTGCATGTATGTAATATTAATACAATATGTATTAATAGTAAATACAATATATACTATTTAATATTTTTTATTTTAATTTTCAACATTAAGTATTTTATATGGTCTGAAATTAGTGTATAATCTAAATTAAGATTCTGTTAGTATTATATAAGTATAGCTAAAAAAAAAAAATGATTGGCAAAAATTTCTTTGTTTTCAATGTTAAGTAAAATTTTTTTTTTTTTAATTAAATTTGACATTTTTTTTTAATTAAATTTGAAACTTTTGCATTTATTGCCAATATAATATATTTTGCATATATGTAATATTAATACAATATGTATTAATAGTAAATACAATATATACTATAAATAATAATCCTTAAGGTTGCCAGTAATAATTAATAAAAAACCACTCCTCAATGTTTAAAGTCGACCAGACTGGCAATAATTTATTATAAATAATTATTTGAAATACAACAACAACGTTTCGGCTGTCATTGCAGCCCTTTTCAAGTACATCTATAAAAAGTTCAATCAAAATAATTATAATTTAATACACTTATTCGCAACAATTAATTATACATTTAAATACAAAAATGTGTTACATACCAAATTTAAAACAGTAAATCAACTTCTATGCAAACTACCGACAATGTTAACGCTTGTTTTGATGAACAATGTAAGACTGACAGAAGTAAGCACATATTAAATAGATGTTAACTGTTCACAAGAATCTTAGTCACTAAGCGTTAAGAAGATAGAGACGAAACTAAATGTGTCTTTCGTAATTTAAATCGTCATAATAAAGTCAAATAAATAAAAATAAATAAATAGGTGGATATAAAAATAAAAATAAAATTAAAAGTAAAAATAAATATAAAACGACTTAAATAACGTCAAGAACACGATCATAAATCCCACTGAAATTCTCCGTATCTTTCTGTAAATTAATACTTTTTCCTTGTTTTTTTATGTAAAACATTTCTGCAATTTCTCTTTTTCTTGTCTGTTTTTCCTCATGCAGAATCACCGGAGAATCCCAACGGAACTCATGATCGTTGCAAGTCCGATGTAAACTAATGACAGAATGCAATGTCTTGTCTTTTTTATGTTATTTCTATGTTCTTTAATGCGCGTTTCTAAATGTCTCTTTGTCTGTCCTATATAAGCCGAATCGCAATTCGCACAATCAATTTTATAAACAACATCAGTTCTTTTTAAGTTTTCGTTTTAAGAACTGATGTTGTTTATAAAATTGATTGTGCGAATTGCGATTCGGCTTATATAGGACAGACAAAGAGACATTTAGAAACGCGCATTAAAGAACATAGAAATAACATAAAAAAAGACAAGACATTGCATTCTGTCATTAGTTTACATCGGACTTGCAACGATCATGAGTTCCGTTGGGATTCTTCGGTGATTCTGCATGAGGAAAAACAGACAAGAAAAAGAGAAATTGCAGAAATGTTTTACATGAAAAAACAAGGAAAAAGTATTAATTTACAGAAAGATACGGAGAATTTCAGTGGGATTTATGATCGTGTTCTTGACGTTATTTAAGTCGTTTTATATTTATTTTTACTTTTAATTTTATTTTTATTTTTATATCCACCTATTTATTTATTTTTATTTATTTGACTTTATTATGACGATTTAAATTACGAAAGACACATTTAGTTTCGTCTCTATCTTCTTAACGCTTAGTGACTAAGATTCTTGTGAACAGTTAACATCTATTTAATATGTGCTTACTTCTGTCAGTCTTACATTGTTCATCAAAACAAGCGTTAACATTGTCGGTAGTTTGCATAGAAGTTGATTTACTGTTTTAAATTTGGTATGTAACACATTTTTGTATTTAAATGTATAATTAATTGTTGCGAATAAGTGTATTAAATTATAATTATTTTGATTGAACTTTTTATAGATGTACTTGAAAAGGGCTGCAATGACAGCCGAAACGTTGTTGTTGTATTTCAAATAATTATTTATAATAAATTATTGCCAGTCTGGTCGACTTTAAACATTGAGGAGTGGTTTTTTATTAATTATTACTGGCAACCTTAAGGATTATTATTTATTTTATCACACCGTGACCTTACTATGGTGGTTTTACAAAGAGGATATTTTAATTACGTGACGGAGAAATTTAGTATGCAAATGTCTTTGATGCTAAAATCTTGGATCAAGACGAAGAAGAACATATGTAAATCTTATCAACAACTTATATTTTTACTCCGGTGCAGACGGATGGATATTCTACCTCCGCATATTAACAACAACAATACAGCAAGTAAATCAGCTATTTTTCACAACAGAAATGTTACACTTAAATGGCTACATCTCCAGCATCGTAGCAAAATTGCGTTATTAAACTTAGAGATTAAAGATATTAATTGTAAATTACGTGCGTTACGTGTCAATTTGAATCATATCGAAAAGCGATTATTTGATAATTTACCTTTTGAGTTTGTCGTTGGCTTTTTGATCACAATGGGCATATCATTCATAAATATAATAATAGTGAGAAGCGGCGTCTAAGAAGCAAATTTGAACACATTTGTCGCAAGTATTATGGGGTTCGGAATCCATTGATAAAAATAGATTACCGCAAATGGATTGTAAATATCAGCAATCGTCGCGTTCCGGATTCGGTGATGAGGTTTCTCAGTTTGGGTGATAAGTTTGGCGTACCCATTTGTAGAAGTAATAAAGATGATAGGAAAATTTCTGCATTAGAAAACATAAAGAATATTGAAGTTAATCATAGAAAGTTTCCCAGTGACAACCTGGATAATTTGAGATTTTCGATAGCGAGTTCGGTACACAAGTTTTTGAGTAAACAAAAACATGTATGTTACATCGATAATTACATTTGTAATAGATACTCCGACTGCTCAAAATTTTTGAAATCTAACAAAAATATTTTTGCAACTAAAGCTGATAAAGGTCAGGTTACTGTACTGATGGACCGGACAGACTACGTTGAGAAAATGAATTTTTTATTGAAAGACGATTCTACGTATAGATCACTTAATAGGACTCCGCTGAAGTCACTGAGCACGAGGGTTGCTAATTTATTAAAATCTTGGTTAGATAATAAATTAATAGACGATAACACATACAGGTACAGACAATTGAGGTGTACGAATGGTAATTTGCCTCTTTTTCTCTTTTATTTCTTTTGTCGGTTAATCAACGGAAGCATTCATATCTTGCGTCCTGTATTATTCGTATAAACGTCTTGCCAAAAGAATAAAAAATAATTTAGAAAGAAATTTTCTGTAAAACATTACATGTAGAATAATTCTAAATTTATATGTATAGCAAATAAAAAAAAGTATATTCGTCATTGAAAATACGCATAGAGCGAAAGAGTGAAGTTTTATTGACATCTAAGAAGTAAGAGCGAAATGCAGCGTTTTTCTTTCGATTTAATTGCCAAATCGGAAATACTTTCATGTGTAAATTTCAGCCATCATTGCAGCAAACTGCAATCATATCACACCTTTAGCTAACCGTAACTAAAGACGTGATACAGTTGCACACTTGCTTACACGTAGGCAACATACCGTGCCGTAAGTATGCATATTGCACATTTAGACATGCATCGATATTTTTCAATATCTATTGGGTTGTTCAAAAAGTCATTGCGTTTTTTTCCAATAGATAGCGCTGTCCACATTTATTTGTATCTGAGCGTGCCATGAATGTCAAATGTTTATGCACATTTTGTTGTTGACACTTAACCTAAAAACCAAAAAAAAAGTTGACGCAATTTAGTCGAGTTTTGTGCTTGCAATTGTAGTTTAAACATGGAGAATTTTGAAAAGCATATTCGCCATATTTTGCTTTATTACTTTAAAAAAGGGAAGAAAGCAACTGAAGCAAGGGAAGAGTTGCGTCAAGTTTACGGCAGAAATGTCATTGAAAAACGTCAGTGCCAGAACTGGTTCGCCCGATTCCGTGGTGGTGATTTTTCGGTTAAAGACGCTCATCGCTCCGGTAGGCCTTCCGAGATTGACGACGATAAAATCAAGGCATTGGTGCAAGCAAATAAGCATTCAACGGTTCGGGAGCTTGCTACCGCTCTAAAAGTGTCCATTGGAAGTGTTCATGGACATTTGAAATCGCTTGGTTTCGTGAAGAAGCTCGATATTTGGGTACCGCATGAGTTGAAAGAAATTCATCTGACAAAGCGTATGAACGTCTGCGATCAACTCACCAAACGCGAAGAAAACGATCCGTTCTTGAAGCGTATGATCACGGGCGACGAAAAATGGATTGTCTACAACAATGTGAGCCGAAAAAGGAGTTGGAGTAAGCGAGATGAAGCACCGGAAAGGCAAACAAAGGCGGACATCCACCAAAAGAAGGTGATGCTGTTAATCTGGTGGGATTGGAAGGGACCAGTCTTCTATGAGCTGCTTCCACAGAATAAAACGATCAATTCCGATGTCTACTGTGAGCAGCTACAGAAATTAAGTGATGCCATCGCACAGAAACGTCCCGAGCTGATCAATCGTAAGGGTGTGGTGTTTCACCACGACAATGCGAGACCACACACAAGTTTGGTCACTCGGCAAAAATTATTGCAGCTTGGTTGGGATGTGTTGCCACATCCACCATATAGCCCAGACCTTGCGCCATCAGACTTCCATCTATTTCGCTCCTTGCAAAACTCCTTGAACGGTAAAACGTTTGCTTCTGAAGACCTCATCAAACAGCACCTTGACAAGTTTCTCGCAGAGAAAGATAGGAAGTTTTATGAACGCGGTATTATGAAATTGCCCGAGAGATGGCAAAAGGTCATTGAACAAAACGGCCAATATATTATTGATTAATGTTCATTACGTATATTAAATAAACGCACCTGAAAATCAAATGAAAAAAACGCAATAACTTTTTGAACAACCCAATATTATTATACAGTGCCCGATCTTCGAAAATGTATATTTAAACTTAGTAAAAAATATGTTTAATCTTAAATTGGCATTTATTTTTGCGTTTAAGAAGCTCAATAAAAATGATTCTTTACTCTCTAATTGTAAGTGTGACTAATATATTATTTGGAGTTTTTTCAAAAGCATACGTGTAATATTTTTATATATCTAAAAAAATATATTATCTTTCAATCAATTGCAAAGTATACTTATATAATATTTTAATTAACATTTTTAATGTTTTTGTATTTTCTAATATTTTCTCATAATGGAGTAAGTATTTTTATATATTAAATTATTTCTTATAACTCTGTGCAAAATTGATTTACTTATAGTATAATACAAACATATGATATATTGTCAGCATTTATATACTATACATATACAATTACATTTTTAAATACTATTCTTGCCTCACCTCAAAGAACTGTTCATTATATAATCCTATGTAAATTTTCTATTGCGCTATATTCACAGCAATATTACGACATTTCACGCGAGGTATTTTTTCCCCCAAAAATCATGTGCACGCAATTTTTAGACACACTTACATGCTATAATGATTCAAGTGTAAACGAGCTTAATAAACATGAGGCCATGCACGTCGTAAAATAGATTTAACGTTCCAAACGACGCATGAAATCTTACTGTTTTATTGTTGAGGCGATTCAAGTCTGTCTTTTATGTGAAACAGCCAAGTTTTATATAACAGAAACTAAGCATCTACAGATTAGAAATGAAAATTGTCTTTAAAAAAAAAATATTAATAACGTTTTATATAATTTTTATCAATATAAATAATTTATATCAAAAATAATTTTTATCGTATAAATACAAAATTTAACTTTATATTGGTCAATAATGTTAGAATGTAAATGTGCTTTTACATATGTAATTATGCAATAAGAAAAGTGGTTGTGTTATTTGGTTATTCTTTAACTTTAAATTGTTATAAAAGATGAATGAATCATTAGTTATAATATATAAAACCAAAAATTTTAAACCATACAAATTAAAACAGACAATTGATTTTGTTTTATAAAAACCTTGCAATTGATCTAATCGTTCGTATTACAAATGTAAATGGAAAGATAGAAAGTGATTGCGAATTGCATGCAAAGAGAATAATGTCAATCACGCGTGGGAATTTAAATGTATTACTAAATAATTATGTTGCACAAGGATTAACATATCTAAAATACGACTATGCGACCATAAATTGTGGTGAAACATATACGCGACATATAATAGTTATAATGTGTGTGTAGTTTTACACATATTTAAAATCTTATATAAGTCACAAGAAGATGTAAATTATATATTTATAATATTTATTTCAAAATAAATTTTATTTGACGAAATTAATTAATAATGTTTTGCAATTTTTAAGATTTTATTTTTAGTAATATATAGTACGTCTACTCTTTTCTATGATAATATTAATACAGATATTTAATATTTATAATAAAAGCACGTTTGCATGATATTATATTATTAATCGATGTAAAATTAAATTGTAAATTTAATATTAGCTGCTAAGTAAAATTATGGGTTATATTACACACAATAAAATTCGCCTATATAATTTTCAGAAAAAATCCTTGATTAAACTTTGATAAATTATTTATTGAATGCATTTTAAAAATATCAAGTAAAAAATATATCCAAAATTGTTTTCTATTATAACATAAAATAGACTCTTGAATCATGGTCTGGCAAGGATTTTCAGATTGCAGTGCCTATACTTCAACTATACTGCATTTTATGCGTCGCATAAACACATATAGTTTGTTGTTTACTGATTAAGCGGTCAAGAACATTTCTCACAACATAAAAGCGTTAAACTTAGCTCAAGCAGGCATCGTGGAATTTTATTGACAACTCAACGTCAACAGTTAAATATTTCATGCGACTTTCAAGTATCAACGAAAAATACAATGCAACAATGATTACGAAGCGATTGATTACAAAATCGCACGACATGAAAATTGTGGCGTGCACGCAACAAAAAATCTTTGCTGCATATTCATGCCAATAAACACGCTATAAGATTGAAAAGGTAACTGCAAAATGCTCTTTCTCAATTGCAGCTTTAGAAAAAAAGTTATACTATGTGTATATTTAACTATGAGTATGCATACATATTGAAAGTATAAAAAAATTTACAAGCATTTAAAATTTTACTTTTAATTTTAAATCTAAGTTAATTAAAAATGTAATTTAAGAAATTTAAATTAATTTAATCAAATTTAATTCATTTAAAAATCCCTCACCGCCTCTCTCTCTTTCTCTGTCTTCTAGTACTTATTTAATCTTTTATTATTTTGTTTTCAAAAAAATTTATTTCTAAATTATACTTAGACAAAATATATAAAATAGGAGGATATTATCTCTAACAATTTACATATTAAATTACAATTATTTTTAACAGTAAAAGACATAAAATAAAAAAATTACTTCCAAAAAATTAAGTCAACAGATTTATAGATAGAAAAATATTTGCTATAACATCATTAATAAGAGTTTTACAGTTTGATATATATATATATATATATATATATATATATATTGACGTGAGAAGAGAGAGAGAGAGAGAAAGCGCATCTAGAATATTTATAGATGATACAGTTTAATGAGATAAAGTAACCTAGTTTATGATAGATAATTCCTTGTATAATTAAGTTCGATTTATTACTGTTTTGTGTAACCATTTCGGAACGTCATAGTGTTCGCACGTGTCAACTTCCGTTAGTTTTTAACGATCACCATTTCCTGTCTTATTGTTAGTTCTAATGTTACAATGCGTAATGCATCACACATTTAGATTTTTTTTTTTCGCATTTTCAGAGTCAGCCACCATAAAAGTGTTTAAATTAACCGATTGTTGTTCGATATTCAACGTTTTTGCGCTTTGTTATTGTTTAAAATGTTACGTCTGCTCATTAATGTAAGCGGCTATTTTCAGATATTGTGCAACTATTAACTGGAGTATAACGTCATGTGTCACCCATATTTCTAACACGTTATATAACTCGTGTGCCAAATAAAATTTACATCTTAAGCCACTTAAATATAATATAATGCAAAATGTATAAACACTACATTTATCAATAATAATGTAAAGACATATGTTTTAAGTTATGAGAAAAGTATGTTTTAAAAAAAGTAAAAAAAGAATTAAAGTATCTTTATAATTTAACAAAAATATATGATTTGCATTAATTTACAATAAGTTACAATACTATGTACTAAAAAATCATTCTATTATTTGTGCGTGCGTGCATGTGTGTATGTGGATATAAACAGCGTCTAGAAAAATAAAAATAAAATATACACTTGGAAAATATCTTTAATGGCTTTATAATTGCGATGTATATTTTTATATAATTAATTATTTTTTTTTGTCACAAATGACTCTTTAGTGATTAATGATATCCAATTTTGGTATTATAATTTATAAGTAAAAAAATTATTAATAGTTGGACATAAAAATTGCATAACACAAAATTAGCAAATTTAAAGACCTATTATTTTGTTAACAAATCTAGTCTTGTTACTTTTGTAATATAATTTGACACTGAATTTTCTATCCCACAATTCATACATTTCACGAGCTGTTAATAAAACTATTTAGTCATAAACTACCGATGTTCTAGCGCCATGATTCCAGGTCGCTCGATCTTGTTACATCAAATCGGCGAACTACGAAAAGATCCCCGCAAAAATTCGCGATTTATGAGATCCAAAGTCGTGCTCGGTGGCACTCATTATAACGCTAAAACTCAAAACCACGCAATATACAGCAACATAAGAGTCGTTAAACGCTTTAATGACCATTGCATAACACGACTTCACAACTATATAATCTTACATAATATCGCACTAGGTTATATCACAATGTCGCAAATTGTGAATGGATTTTATATATTTTAAAGAGAGAACCAAACATCTTATGTATCAAGTGTAAAAAACTTGTCATACATTTTTATGAACAAAATTAGCGATTTGTGCTATCTAAATAATTTATGATATGTTGAAGTAAGCCTCTAACAAATTATAATCAGAAAGATAATTTAAAATTTAATTGTCGTGATTTTAATTTATAAATATATATTTATATAAAAAATAAATATAAATATCATGTAACTTGGTCCTGTTTCTCTATATACCTAATCCTTAAAATCCTATTGTAAGATGCAAATAAAAACTTTATTGTTATAAGATTATTTATATATTTTAATTTTTATTAATCATTAATGCTAAGATATTAGATCATTTATTGGTTTAAGAAATTTTTACTTAATTTAATCAAAATTAGAAACAATTTTCATTAAAATTAAATTTTTCCATAATTGCAAAATTTCATTACATGTCATTGACATTCATTTTTTATTCCTATTTAAAAAAAAATTCCTATTATGAGATTAGGTATCTTTTCGAAAAACTTTCAACGTATAACATTCAGTATAATTTGAAACACCATCTAAAAGACTTTGTAAAGCTGTCAATTCAAAATTCTCTGTATCCTCTGAGAATTACAGAATATTATTTTCTCGAAATGACTGAATACCGTGTAATCAAGAGAGCAGCCAGATGAGACTGACAGATAACTGTACTGTTTCCGGTGTAACGTCAAAATTTCCCTCTTTCTATCTCATCTTCTCAACTACGCCCGGTTATGTCGCTCTCATACTCCCTGGGGGCAACTACAAAGTAAAGCTCACCTCTCGTAACATCTAATTCGAGGCGTTACTCAACGCGTCAAAGTTACGTGACCGGTCGTTCTGTAACAAGCCGTTACAGCGTCCCTCATTACGAATTCGTCGAATCAAGCGTGAAACGCAACGACATGCCACGAATATCTGCGAACGTTGTGCATCCTCACATTTTCTCCGCTCGAACATTGTTATATAATATATGTATATGTATTTGTTTCTGATTAGAGATCGATCGAAGGAATCACTCGACGCGTC